AGAAACTTGTAAACAGCAGTAAAAATGCAAAAGTTTGTGCAATTGGCTGCCTGCCGGAGTTCCCTCAGTGATCTCTGCAGGGCTGCCGGTATTTCCTTCTGAGTGAAACCCCCGTTGTATGTTCTCTTGGATGTTCTCGATTTATCAGTTGGTAGAAGTTGAAATTCTCTGCCATTCAACTTCTCTCGCCACTTTCACCAACCTTTCGTTGTGATTGAAACCAACTGTAATGCATGGCATAGTCCGCGTATTGTTTCCTCGGGAGGGTCAATTCCTCTCCCGAATAGAGCGCTCCTATTTCCCGTGTAATGATGGTTAATTGAGTGGCCATCAACGGCGATATGGTGGAAGACGAGGCAGACCACAACGCGACCAGCTGAGTGGCTAACCATCACCTGCATACTGGAATCTTTTATATCCATGGGGGCCTTGACGAAAATTTGCGGATCCATCGACGATTTCGTACAGGTAAAGAACGCTTCCGTGCCAGAAAGTATAGTCTGGCCATTAGCATAATATCTGGTGCGTAGAATGGAGTGCCTCATGACTATAGAATTCAAGACCCTCAAAAATCGACGTTCATCGAAAATGGCAGCATCCATAGCGAAAACCACAGGCTCGTTGAATTGAGCCCTCGTGAGCGGCTCAAGCTCACTCATAAACACCAAACCCCTCTGCTGAGGAGATAAAGGAACATGACCCGAATAAGCATCGTCATCTTTATTATTGATTTCACAAGCAACGACACACGACATGAGATAGGTGTCCATTTCTTCGACGGTGTTCTTCGTCATCGCGATGCCAGTAGGGATACTGTAGCTGGGAAACTCCGACTGCAACGCCATCTCCAGTTCGGCGCACTGCAGCGAGTCCAATCCCATCGAGGTGAACGTCTCATGACGATCGATACTCTCACAATCGATTCCAATCCTCGCCAAGCATTTGATAGTTGGGCTGTCCTTGAAAGACACCTCTTCTAATAGATTTGTCTTTTTGACCGATTCTTCATCCTCCACACGAATATTTGTCCAGTTGCCACAGCGCGATCCAAATGAGCCATAAATATTCAAATTGCAGACGCCATCAGAGCTCTTCACAAAGAGCTTCAGTCCACCGAAGCAGATCACTGGATACTGTATTTGTTCGATGGATTTTGATTGATTTATCTCAAATCCAGTCAAAGTTGTAGTAGTCCCCCTCCACGATTTGTGGCTGTAAGAGTCTGATCTGAAGCTGCGGGATTCGCTTCAGGTTGGATCAATTTGCACAAGCCATCGCTTTTCCTATCACACTGACAGACGGCAGACGTTCTCAGGGGGCACTTCAGAATGTTCGAGATCGAATCCACATTGGGTGCTCGAGTACATGACGTTGCATTGCTCGACGGTGGCATGGCTGCATTGCGTTGCTGTCGACGAGAATGTGAAATTGTCGATGGACTTTTGGAGAGTGAGGCTCCTGAAAAGCAGTTTTTTGGTGAATCCACCCGAAGACATAGTAACAGTAGTGTGGAAAGTCAGAAGGTCTTAAAAATCTTTCTAACATATTTTGCTTGTTTTTCCGAAGGCAGGTCCCAATTTGGCCTTGAAAAGCTGACAAGAGTCCAAAAATTGCAAAGGGAGCATGGAAAAGATCATTGCACGAGGAAAGCGTTACCTTAGCTCAGTGGCAACTATGATAGAGAAAGGAAACTGGGAGCTATTGCAAGATGCGAGGGCATTGTGGTGGCAATCCATTTCTAATCGCTCAAACGGAAGTAAGTCTCAAGCAGAGGAATAAAGACTTCAAGGTGAGTGAGCAGTTTTCATTTTCCCTGAAATTTCTGACCCTCTTAGGCTCAGCTCTAGAGGATGCCCCCGTATCTTGCTATAGCGCTAAAAATCTCACTCTTTCTAGACAATTGTTGTTTCACTGAATCCGCCTTCTACTTTCTTACGACAATCTGCCTATGCGCCTAATTGCCGATTTCCATCAACATCTATACATACCTTTCAGGTCTGTCCTTCTCCATTGTTTCATTCCCAAAACTAGGTCATACCATCGCTGACTTTGATTTCGTCCAACTGCACGAACAGCGAAAACTTCAGGAATAATTCGCGGGTTCTCTGCAGGAACTCGGGCAGCACCTCGTTGAAGAACACATCATTGCGCCGATGCATCACTCCGTCACTGCAAACACATGTTGATATATTCGAATGCATTTCATGTTGAATACTTGCTGAACGACAGCACTATTCTGCACGTAGGATCAACGGACATCACATGGAGCGTTTCTTAAAAATAATTCTGAATGTTGTAGAGGATCACATGAGGAACACATAATACAGAACCATGGTACATTTTTCCTGAACGCCCCAGGATGTCAAAACAGCGATGGTCCAAAGTTCGATCCTCCGTGATGACAAATTTTTGCAATTTATGTTGGCGCCTCCAAATTGCCGCAAAACACGACAATGACATCTATTCTCGACGATGGCGCCATTTGGCGGCAATCTGGGGCGCCAAACTATATTGCAAAAATTAGTCATCACCGGGGATCGAACTCTGGACCATTTCTTCACCACTGTTTTGACATTCCTGTGGAAGTACAGAAGGATGGAAATGGATCATGGTTTTGTGCTCCTTGAATGAGCCTCTACAGCATGCGAAGAACCATTTCGAAAAAGCGCTCTATCCTGAATGACCTCCCTTGTAAGGCTACAGGCTTCATGGAGGGTTCTACCCAGCAGGAGGTTCACCACTAGGCCACCGCTTTCGCTCTTATCCATGCTACTTTATCAGCACTTTTCTCAAACAGTGGTATAGGACAACGGAGAATTTAGTTCTGGAAAAGCAAAATCTCGGAAAGAAATAGCTTATGAGGAATTTGACACCTTATGCGTGCCACGCGGCCGTAGATGGCAGACAGTGCATGATCCCCCATGGGCGATGTTCCATAAGGAAAGGTTGGAAGATTCATGCCAGGCAAAAATTGTCCTCTTCGTATGCATGTGTAGATAGGTATTTGGGTGGCTGTTGATCGTTGCTTGAAGTGCGCTCTACGAAAATCTGAGTTTGTTCCCTCAAGAATAAAGTAGAGGTGCACGGTTAGTTTAACAAGGGAGTGATCTCAGGTCGCTATGGCCATTTAAGAAGAGTGCATTTAAGAAGCCTTCGAACGCTGATCGCAAATCTGCTTTCCAATCAGCTAAATCGTTTTCCGGACGGAGTTATGAAGAGGAGTAGCTCAGCGGTTCAGGCTCGAAGGTAAAAGGTCATCAAAGCGGTTCCTTGGCGAGTCCGTTCCTTTGCTTTTGTCTACAACTGTGGAAAAACAATTAAACACATAATTTCGTCGATTCTCATCTGAAAAATTGCCTGCAAGGGTTTGCGAGCAGTTGGTAACAAGTACATCCTTCCTTCCCTGGTCACTTTTTGAAGTTACGTCAACATTTCAGATCTTGCTAAAAGGAGCTGCGGCAATTTGACGCTTTGATAACGAATATCACACTTATTTTGTTCGAAAATGTCTGGCATGCGCGATACGCGCGCATAAACAGTTCATGCGGGAACAGTAATCAAAAATTGGGGTGCATTTTTTTCTGCAAAATGAGTGTGATATTCGTTATCGGGACGTCAAATTACCGCATAGAGCTCCTTTTAGCAAGACCTGAAATGTTGACGCAACTACAAACAAGTGGCTAGGGAGCGAAGGATGTACCTGCTAGCAACTGCTTTCTAACTCTTGCCGGCGGTTTTAGTTAGTCAAGCAGTGATGAAATGACGTGCACACAAGTTTTTCCAAAAATGTAGCAGACGGAGCAAGGGAACAAACTCACAAACGAACCGATCTTACGAGCCCTTACCTGACAGAGCGGACCATCACCGCTGAGCTACCCTACTTCATAGCTACGTTCAGATAATCGTTTAGCAGATTTGGAAAGTAGATTTGAGATCAGAGGGCACATCTCTTGGTATACATCTCTTCTTGAGTGACCATGGCGATCTGAGATCCTTTCCTTGTGATTCAACGAATTCTGTACTTGATTTTAGAACATGTGCAAGTATAGAGCACAGTCGAATGGGGTCTATCCATAAGTTCTCGCAGTGAATATCCTATAAAAA